GGATGAAAAAATAACTCAGTAGATGAGAAAAATGTGTCATGATGGTTTTGTCTCTGGTCACATTTTCTACCAGTTATCAGAAAAAAACTCATCTTTGACCACTAGATGTCGCTGTGAGCTCACTGCTAGCTCAGCCAAACCCATTTATGTCATCCAGGCTATTTCCTGTCATAGATGGGTGGCTCCATCACGTTTTATAACTTTATCAAGACTGCAGGCTTGTTCCGTTTTATGATAATAACTGTTGCTATTTCTGAGTTTGATCATGAGAGGAGAACAGTTGGTTAATATGGTTCAGCTCCACGTCGGCGTTTCTTATCTGAAAGAGTCACATCAGCTGAGTGTTAGCTTAGAGCACAAGGATATTTTTGGCTTCATGTGTAAAACAAATCACCACACAGCTAATAGAGTATGAACACATTAGTTTTAGTTCAAATACAGACGCCTGCACCTTTGGTGTGGGTTAAAATTACATCCTAATATTAAGTAGCCTGTTGTCAGACTGGTTCAGGCTGGTAAAAGGCCTTAAGGTCTGACTTCATCACAGGAAAAGGCTTTTTCCTGCTTCCAGGGAAAACAACCTGCTGCTCAGACAAGGTCTGTGGTTTAGGTCTGGAGTTGCTCCAGACACACCGAGAGCGTCGCTTAATTAATTTCCACCGAGGTGTGGCTGCCGAAGAAATACGCAGGAGGAAAAAAATCCCACAACTCCGGGAAATGAAGCCAAAACTATTCAGGACTCCAGAGTAGTGATGATTAGTAAGGGATTAACAGTAAAGTGTTGAAATAATAATAAAAGACTAACCGTCTGCGTCATGCATCTCCTGAATGTTTTCCACTCTGAATGTAGACGCTGTTTTTTGGGTGAACATTGGGAACAGTCGGTTGGAAAACTGCAATGGTCTCCTAACTGGTCTTCCCCAAAAAGCTGTGAAGCAGCTGCAGCTTGTTCAGAATGCTGCTGCTAGAGTCTTAACAAGAGCTAAGAGAAGGGAGCACATCACTCCTGTTCTTAGATCCCTACACTGGTTACCAGTAAACCACAGAATAGATCTCAAAGTGCTCCTACTAGTTTATAAACCACTCAGTGGCATGGGGCCAAAACACATGTCCGATCTCATTCCTGTATGTACACCCAATAGGGCTCTGAGATCCCTTGAAAAAAATCAGCTGGTAGAACCTCGGGTCAGAACAAACATGGTGGAGATGCTGCTTAGAGCCCTGCACGGGCCTAAAATCTGAGCCCGTGACCGGCCCGGCCCGGCCCGAGGGGGTGGAGCCCCAGCCCGACCCGGTCCGAAAAGGTTTTCAGGATTCTCTGGCCCGACCCGAGCCCAACTTTTTTTTTAACCTTTCAAAATGTTTTAGCGTGACAGAACGCTCAGCATTCTAATTATCTGTGAGAAGCGTTCTGCAGTAAAAAAAAAAAAAAAAAGTAAAAAGAAAAGACAGAAAAACAGCATCAATGCAGCTTTTTTTTTAACAGAGCGTATTTTTCGAGCGGCAGATGAAATTTACGAACACTATATTAATTGGATGCGTTTGTAAATTTAATCTGCTCTGAAAATGCGCTCTTGTGCAATTAGAAAAAAAAAGCAGCATTCTAATTTTCTAACTGCAGAGCGCATTTTCAGAGCGGCAGATTAAATAAACGCCCCCAGTTAATACAGCGTTTGTAAATTTAATCTGCCGCTCTGAAAATGCGCTCTCCGGTTAGAAAAAAACCTGCAATGAATGCTGTATTTTTTAAACTGCAGAGCGAATTTATTCACAGAAAAACAGAATGCTGCTGTTTTCATGAGAATAAACGAATGGTTCCTGACATCAAAGTGGACATAAAATGGTATGTTAGAATAGGGGCACATGTTTCAATCAGCAGTTTGAGAATTCGTTTATATCGGCGCATTTATAAACCACACACACCTTAATTGAGCTAACGGTGCGTGAGAAGCAGGCAGGTGCTGCTGCGTTTAAGTGTTTCAGTTTTTTTTAATGAATTCGATTAAAAATAAAGGCGCCCGGTCCGGCCCGTGTCCGAGGTAATTGCACAGTCGTAGGCCCGAAGCCCGGCCCTCGGGCCGTCGGGCCGGGCCGACCCGCGGGCCTAGGGCTCCAGTGCAGGGCTCTAATGCTGCTCACATATGGAATCAGCTTCCCCATGACCTCACATCTGCTCCGACACGACTGTTGTTTAAAACAAAACTAAAAACCCTGATGTGCTCATCAGCCTTTAAATGAATTGTTTTTTATGCAGCGTGGTCTCCACTGTAACCTGTGCTGTAACTTAGTCTTCTCCTTTAGCTCTAAACTGTAATTCTATCTCTGTGTGTGTGTTTTAATTTGTGTTTGTATGTGTTTTCATACCACGTCCTGATAATTGGAAAGCACATAGAATCACCTGTGTGTTTGAAATTTGCTCTATAAATAAAGCTGCCTTGCCTTTTTTCATCATCACTTGTTTCTCCAGCCACTTTCAGTGGAGTCACCATGACAGCAAATCAGGGTAATATTTGCACCATGGTGAAAGCTCCGTGGCAGCATGGCGATGCAGGACGATTGTGATATTCACGCCGCCAAGTTTGATAGTAATATTACAGAAAAGCTGGAGGGTGATGTCATGATCTCATGTGGGGTGTCCGCCGAGCCTTGGCCGGAAACGTTATTGAAAGTGCAAGTAGACAAGAGCAGTCAGTTTGTAAACAGAATCAGCTGAGATGGCAAACTGGAGCGATGCAGAGATCCGGGAGCTTCTCCTCGTTAGAGCTGAAGTACCGATCGCCAGAGAGTGCACAGGGGCTGTGAGGGACAGCCACCTTTTGGAGCAGCTTGCAAAAAAACTTGAGGAGCGTGGCTTCAATCGGAGAAAACAAGTTCCGTCCGAGCTAAAAGGACGTCCGTGACACCGCAGAGACCACTCCCACACTGCCTTTATACCGCCATCGCTTTATCTTTAGTGAAAAACTCACAACCACGCCTCGTTACCACCACAGGTTGATCACGTACAGACGACTAAAGGCTCCCTGATGCTGCCTCTGCTTCGTAGCAAAGTGGAGCCATTTTTTTAACGAGCTTCTGCCTACTCACCTGCTTCCCATGTCGGGATTCGCCTGTCCCTGGTCATATACTCCCTAGCTACTTCGCGCATTTATCAAATCTTCCTGTCAGGGATGAAAACGGCATCTGTTTTTGGTTCAGCTGAGTGAATTAGCCCTTTAGGCTCCAAAATGGCTCACCGTTTATTGCTATTGATGAGAAAACATCTGAGACTCGCATTTTTCAAGAAAGAGTAATGTTCGTTAGCGCTGCTAGGAATTTCCCTAATCACCCCTGACCTCACTACATCCTGTTTTTGTTCTAGGGTCTTCTCTGGATCTTGAAGGTGCTTGAAATCCTTAGAAAAGCTGGTATTTTCAGAGCTTTACAACCGATTAAAAACTGATTCAAGAGAAGTTGGTTGCAATACACTGAGATTCGAGATGTGTAAGACGTTGTTTGGAGTGGATATACTGTTCCTGGTTGTTTAAATCACCAATGGAAAGAGCTGGAATCTACTTAAAAGCGTTTTGATTTAGTTTAAAGAGCAAGTCACCCCCTACCAGAGTCTAACTCCACTCCCACTTCATGTTTGAAAAATGCAACAAATGCTGTTGCCAGGCAGACCGAGAGGGTGGAGCCGCTAACAAATACACACACACACAGGCTCACGACAGCATTGTGACATCATAATGTACCAGTTTACATCATAGCATACTTCTTAGCCAATAGCGGTGGCTGATTTAAATTCAAATACAGTGCAGAGTTTTTACCTGACAACGGCACAACACTGACAGTTTTAGGCAGAATATTTAAATTTTAACTAAGATGCACTGAAGAGCCAAATTATTGACGACACGTGTCTGCAGCACAATTAGACACTCGTTTATTTAGTTTATCAGCAAAAAAAGTTGATTTGGGGGTGACTTGCTCTTTAAGCAAACTTGTTGCCACGCTGCCTTTTAATTTGATCCAGAAAGTTTTGTTTTCTTTGTTTCTTTAGTAAATTCCTGAAACATTGTTAAAAATAGAAAATCCCACCGTAATGATGCGGTAAAACAATAACAGCATCACGTTTTATCCTCCGCCGTATTTTTTTTACAAACTTCTCAAAGGCGTTTTGACAGAACTGTAAAAACTACATAAAACATGTTGACTTCTGCGGAAACGTAACACCCGAGGCTGCTGTGTGCAGATGCAGACAGAAATGTCAGAGGGTTACTGAAGGGAAGCCGGCGGTATTATGAGCTGTGCATATGGATCAGACCTGTGGACCAGCTGCTGTCCACTAATAATGTCTCCACTCTGCACTGATGACATCTGAATACACAAACCTGACATTCAGCCACACTTTCTGCTCATTCTGCGGTCGGAATACCAAATCTGTCATAATACCACACATCCTGGTAAATCCTGATTTTGTTGGATTAGTATTTCACGCCTTTGTTGCAAGAAGCAGCTTCAGCCCGGTAGCAACTTTGCTTTTCCATCATTTATGGGGGGGGGGGGGGGGCTGATGGGCGAGGCGAGCCACCTGTGTGGCAGTAATGAAGTTTTACAGCTCATCCTGTTACGCCGACGCTGTCACAACAACCTCCGAGCTTCCTCGCTGAAAGCTGCTTATTTATTCAACACGGGGCCAAAGCGCCGTCGTCTGAGCTCTTTATGACACAAAGTGGAAGCCGTTTCCTGGGTGAAGCGCAGTTTTTGCGTGACACGCCAGCAACAAAACGCCTCATAAAAGACAGCAGATGATGACAGTCGTGCTTATATCCGCTGATGCTGCGATGTTTTCAATCGATGCTTCGTCCGCGTCACCTGAGCAGAGGAGATGTCGGCGGTAACGGCGTCATCGACCGTCTTTCTGTGTTCCTACTAAACGCTCAGCTCTCCTAAGCAACTGCGTGTTTTGCCCCCTTAGATAGAAGCCTGAGGGCTGGTTTGGCTCAATAAAGACAACATTCACATTTCATGTTTTCACTTTATTCTCAAAGCAACAAAGTGGACTGTTGGATGTAAAAAAGAAGAGAAACACTGGTATAAATAGGATGAAATTGCACATTTTGAAACTTTTTTTCTGTAAAAATACATCAAACACATAACACGCCAATAAATACAAATAAATAGAAATTCATAAAGTATCACTTGTATATTTTTAAAAGTAGAACATTGCACATGACAGCTAAAAAAGTTTGCCTGACGGCAAACAAAAGTGCTTTTCCGACTCCTCGTTCTCTACGTTTGGATTGTCTTTCTTTTCTAGTTAAGACCAACTCCATCTCTGTTGGCACATCAGTCCAGCTCTGCTTCCTTCCCTGTCAGTCTCCTCTTGTCTTCGAGCAAACCGCTTCTGCAGAACGGAAGCATCCGGCGCAGCTCTCAGCGTCCGCGCTCATCTCAGCACCAGCTTCCCTTTACCGTGCAGCAACAAACGCCATGCCTCACTTGGTTTCCAAATCGGACGCCCACAACGTCCTTTCACACCTTCTTCTCTTGGGGTAGGCTGATGGCTCCAGCACGTGGTCTGGCTTGGCACAGCAGGCTCCTGTAGGCTGGAGAGTGGAGAAAGCGGGGGTAGCAGTCTTTGGCCATCAGCATGTAGATCCTGTGTTGTGCCAGGTCAAAACAAGATGGCGAGGGGTCCTGCATGTTGGCTTTGGTGATGTCACGGGTCTCATGATCAATATTTATCTGTAAAAAAAAAGACAAAAAGTCAGTTTAGGGTTATTTTAGGAAAGTTATCGAGAGACGTTCATCTAGTTATTCTAGATTTGGCAGATCCTCACCTCCCTGGGAGCTTCGCTGCCGATGAATTCATTGTAGATCTTCTGGGCTTTAGCAGGCAGTTTAGCAGGACACTTGGTTTTCCTGTAATCCTCGCAGGCAAAGTAGAACGCGACGTTCTCCTCACTAAACTCAGAGACCAGGAAGGCTGTGAAGGCACACAGTCCATCTGCAGAGAGGACATTCAATTAGCAATCACGCATAATAGCCCCGCCGAGGGCCGCTGTGGAAATGTGTGCCTCTGACTGGAAATGGACCACGCATGGATGGATCACAGGTGGTCAGATCTTTGGGTGTGGAAAGCTCAAAGCTGAAGCTTCACTTACATTTGCTGGAGAGGAGCTTCTCAAAGGATTCTTTCCACCGGAGGCATTCCTCCAGAGTCGGCCTGAAAACGGACAAAACCACGTTTAGATGGAACCTGGAAATGCATCAGAGTGAATTCATGAGGGAGCTGTTTACTTTGCTGCAACGCATACTTATTTTTTCCTATTTTGCAACAGGCTAGAGTCCAGTTGGGCTTCTGCAGAATGCTTCGCAGCCTTTCTTTCAGCTCCTTGGCCCTGGAGAAGGAAAGAAAAAACAGCTTAGATGTGTTTTTTTTCCCAAAAAACTCAAATCCAATGCAGCATAAGTCAAAGCTTGATATGATTTCCTTCCTTTTTAGCCTCTCAAAGCTGATGTGATATGATGTAAAAGTCGATGCGGGGTTTTTCTGAAGCTGGGTTTACCTTTCCAAGCAGCAGGCGGGCAGCGTTGCCAGCCCCTTACACATAGCAGCAGGTTGGAGACGGTCAGGTTGTGCTTAAATATCCGTTTATTCTGAGTCAGAGCAAAGCTGCTGCACAGCTTTTATAGTCCTACCGCCCCCCTGCCTCTAACGTGTCATCGGCTCTGTCAGCCAATCACAGACAGGCACAGAAGAAGGGAGAAAGGAGGAGGGAGGTGAATGTGGGAAAACATGCACTGACAAGGCTGGGGAATTACTGTCCAATGTTAAAAAGCTCTGACAGCTCATGCAGGGTATCAAAAAAACAACCCCCCCCCCCCCCCCCCCACCCCCCACCCACACACACACACACACACACACACACACCCCTCCCCCACCCCCCACCCCACCCCATTTATCTGCAAATCAAAATGAGGCTAATTTCTAAATATTTAGAACATTTTCCTTGTTTTTGTAGCATGAACAGTCACACAAATGGAATGTGGCTTGTTAGTGTTTACATTTGTGCTGATGCATAATATCTTTAGCAGCATTTTAAGAGCAGAGAAACCATTTTAACTTATTATTTCTCATTAAAATCGGTCACTCTGAGTTTTTCATGCAGCCCGAACAAGAAAATAGTCTCCTACACCTATCTCCTGCATTAGCTTCTGATAGAAAATGGACAGTGAAACTCTAGGTTTAGAAAATCCTGACAGATCTACGTCACACTGTCACTTAACTCATTCGCTGCCAGCCGTTTCCTGATCGGTAAAGCCCTTCGCTGCCAGCGTTTCTCACCGTTTTTACTGTTTTTTTTAAGAGTCACAGAACGTTGCGCGCAAGGATGATGTCGACGCCAAAACAACTAAAACAAAGCAGAGACTCACCTCTTTGTAACGTATATCAGGAAGAATCTGCGCGTTTCGAGCGTTATCCGTTCTTTCATAATCCGTTGTTGAACTGTGATCGGCAGAAGCTTTTCCGGTTCACGCCTCACTTTTTTTACAGCAGCGGCCCAAACGATCTCCTAACACATAAATGTTCTGCTTCCTGATCACGTGACGTGTGACGTATGCGGATGAAGATCGGCTTTAGAGCTGAGATGTTTGTTTGCACAGTGCGGGGGCTCGTCCGACGCCCACACGGTAAAAAAAAATGCAAATGACGACTTTTGTCTTCATTTGCAGTGAACAAGTTAACATTCATGGACTCACTCATTTTAACTCACGACGGGGAAGGCTGTTGTTGGTTTAGCGTCCAGGAAACAGCAGAGAACATCTCAGCTAGTAGAAGCTAACCGTTAGCATTAGCAGCTTCACCACACAGCAGAACTCCTCCATGCTTGCGTTATTTTCAGAGATAAAACATCAACGTTGCAGAGCAAACAGAGTCAGTGGCAGTGTCACGTTGCTGTTAGCCAATCAGAGGAGAGATGTCCAAATCAGGAAGTAGGAGTCCAAATCCTGTTGTTTGGTTACTTTCTCCCCTGTCTGAATTCATCCTCCTGAAACAGATGCACTGGAGCTTTTATTCCCTAGAGTGTGACTCACAAGGCATTTATTCCTATAGAGAGCACTGCAAACGTATTAAAATAAGAGTAACGTTGACCTATGAATTAGTCGTGTTAGTCTACAAAGCTTAAAAAACCCAGTCAGTAAAAACACCCTTTCATTCTAGCTCTCTTTAAGTGAATTACATCACTTTACTTCACTTTACCTGAACACAAACACACTTCTGATGACACACATCACTACAAAGTTGTGCTAGTTTTGAAGAACTACAACAAATTAGTGAAGAAAAACTTTCTTTTGTCATCAGATGTTTTAATTCTTAGAATTAAATTAATTCAAACACAATCAGATTTATTCCAGGTTAAAAACAAAACTTAAGAATATATTCAGAATAACTAGTCCTGCTGTTTTCTAAAAGGGGTGCAGCTCGACTTTATTACAGGTTGTCGAGTGACTCGTGAGTTCATGCATGAGCACGGAGGCTGCACAGAAGGAAACCTGCGACCCTCTGACATGCAGCTGCCCATCGGCGGCCTTTTTCACATCCTCAGCAGCTCCGTTCTCCTTTTAGAGGAACACATAATCACACTTTGACTTTTTATAGACATGCTAAGGACTGATGGGAAGGAGACAATATTGTCTCGCTTTAACCACATTACTGGAAGTAGGTGGGATGTGCTGTCAGCTGCACAATAAAGCTGAAGTGAGATCGTCTCCCAGATGGCGAGCTGCAACTTGCTTATCCAAGATTTGCTTCTTTTATGATGCAGAACAAAAGGAGATTAGAGAATCTGAATGAAAACAGACAGAAGATTGGTAACATGACAACAACACGGCTTTGTACTGCAGTGGTTCTGGATGAAGTTATAAATAATTACACTCTCACACACAAATAAAACAGAAAAGTGTCTGACGTTACATAAACGTGGAAGTGTTAACTTGTTATATCTCTATCATTATCCTGCATGGATCCTTCAAACTCTTTGTTGGTGGTTACCTTCCATCTTCATTTGCCTGACGATTGTATTGTGATCAGATGTGTATTAAAAACCAAAGCTTACACAACATTCACCTTTTGCATCTTCTGTGCTGCCGTGTGGGTCTCCACTGCCTCTGCAAACGCTCCAGATGTGGACAAACCTGTCCGTCCATCTTCTGTCCACGTTTGGTTTCAGGCTTCATAAGTCTAAAACGAGCTGTTTCAAAAAGGTCCCATTTGTGACATCACAATAAGGGATCACCCTAGAACCCCAACCCCCCCACACACACCTACTTGTAGTAGCCTAAGCGGGGGATGGGTGTCTGAGTCCTGAAATGACTCATTCTGGAGGGTGCTGAAACTGTCCAGAGCTAAACTGCTGACATCACTTCATGTGAGAGGCTTGGTGCAAATCAGAGCTGTTAGGTATCCGAGTACGTCCCCTTTAACGTTTTATTTACACCATAAACGAGGTCCCCAGCCTGGAAGAAGACACCGTACTACCTAACACCGAGGTAACAAATAAAACATTAAATAAATGACTGACACAAAGTCTAACAACTACATTAGTATTAGTATTATTAATAAAATGTTCTCATTTTTCTTTTAAAGTCTATATTTATAGGAGATGAGCAGCAAATCTGTTTGGATTCAGCCCTCAACGAAAACTTCCCGTGTGAAATCTGTTTTCCAAATCCGTACATCTGACCCGGTACTCGGAAGTCTCACAGGCAGACTCCCTTCTTCAGAGGAATCTCGCTAAAAGCAGTTAGACCTTGTAATTTTGTGTCTCGCCATTAAATCTTTACATTCTGTGTGTGTGCGCGTGCGTGCATGTGTGTGCGCATGTGTGTGTGCGTGCATGTGTGTGCGTGTGCATGTGTGTGCATGCATGTGCGTGCATGTGTGTGTGTGTGTGTGTGTGTGTGTGTGTGTGTTAGTGAGAAAAACCTAGGAGATTTCCTCAGAAATACAGCCACTAATAAATCAAATCTGTTTTTCGTGTGATCCAGTTCATACCTCCTTTCTCTACAGCCAGCCGCTCCGGAGTGGACTGTTAAAGGGAGGCTGGATATTTTCCTGGAACTGTTTTCCACTTGATAAAGAAGCTGATATTTCTATTTCCCCATAAAACGGCTCCTTATTTATCACATTTGACTCTTTTCCTTTTTGGTGTGGGATCCACTTCTGGTCAAGATAGAGCAGTTTGTTGATTAGAGAAGAAAACCCGGGATACTTCATGTCTGTTTAATTTATAGTGTGTGTGTGTGTGTGTGTGTGTGTGTGTGTGTGTGTGTTTGTGTGTGTGTGTGTTTTCGTGTTTTTTTGTGTGTGTGTGTGAGTGCGTGGGTGAGTGTGTGTGTGTGTGTGTGTGTGTTTGTTCATGTTTGTGTAACGGGGTGACTCGAGCTGGGCAAGAGTTTGGATGTGGTGTGGCTTTTAACCCAAGCGCGGAGTGACTGACGCCGGGTTGAATGGACACGCTGTTTAATCTGGGAGCCGGGTACGCAGCTGTACTGTGACACAGCTGAACACGGCGACTCCTGGTCTGAAGCTGATCGGTACGAACAGGCAGGATTCAGAGATCTGGCTGGTCTGATCTGAACAGGCTTCGTGATCTGAGCTGATCTGGTTAGGACTCTAGGTTAAGTTCGGTGAGAACGATGACTGAGTGAGCCGGCGTTGTGCGGCACTTCCCTATATAGGTTTGGCAGGTGACGTGAAACGGAAAACCTGGCGCTAGGGATGTTGGGTAATGGAGTCTGAGCGGCTCTGCGGTGCCTCCCTAGAGGAGGTTGACGGCTGAGCGGGAGGTTGTGTGACAGGACCCCCCACCCGAGGGACGGCCCCAGAAGTCCCAGAGCGGCGAGCCCAGAAGTCCGTTATGAGAGAGGGGTCCAAGATGACCCTCGACGGTTCCCATGAACGCTCCTCCGGTCCGTAATCCGCCCAGTCCACCAGGTATTGCCATCCCCTGCCACGGCGACGGGCATCCAGCAGACGGCGCACAGCATAAACACCATCACCGCACACCCCACGAGGCGGTGAAGCGGGCACAGGGGGGGGGGGGGGGCGAGAGGAGAGGTCCTGACCGGTCTCAGCTGGGAAACGTGGAAGACTGGGTGAACCTTGAGAGACCGGGGCAGGCGGATGCGGTAAGCCACGGGGTTAATGACCCTTTCCACGGGGTAAGGACCCAGAAACCGTGGGCTGAGTTTCTTGGAGCCGGCGGGCAAACGCATGTTACGAGTAGACACCCACACATTATCGCCCGGCTGAAAGGTCGGACCAGGCCGGTGGCGGCGCTTATGCTGGCGTGAGTACTCCGTGTTAGCTCGTGTGATGGCAGCCCGAGCACGGATCCAGGCGAGACGGCAACGTCGAACTAGGAGCTGGGCCGCAGGAACCTCCGTCTCCGGTTCCTGGTGAGGGAACAGAGGGGGCTGGTAACCATTACACAGCTCGAACGGGGAAAGACCAGTAGCCGAGGAGACGTGGAGGTTATGGGACATCTCCGCCCACAAGAGATGCTTTGGCCATGTGGTTGGTTGGGAAGAGGCAAAGCAGCGCAGGTACCGCCCGAGCTGCTGGTTGGCGCGTTCAGTCTGTCCATTGGTCTGGGGATGGTAGCCAGACGAGAG